CGCCAATTGGCAAGTCGGATAAAGAAGACCCACTGAGGCCTCTGCACCAATTGGCAAGTCAATTAAGAAAGACCCGTCAAGGCCTCCTGCACCAACTAGCAAGCCACCTGTCCATCATTCTGCGCCAATAAGCAAGTCGAATGTGGAAGACCCACCGAGCCCTCCCGTGCCAATTGGCAAGCTGGATAAGGAAGACCCGCCAAGGCCTCCTGCACCAATGGGCAGGCCACCTGTCCATCATTCTGCGCCAATAGGCAACTCGAATGAGGAAGACCCATCGAACCCTCCCGTGCCAATTGGCAAGCCGAATAAGGAAGACTCGCCAAGGCCTTTCGCACCAATGGGCAGGCCACCTGTCCCTCATTCTGCACCAATAGGCAAGTCAAATGAGGAAGACCCGCCGAGCCCTCTCGTGCCAATTGGCAAGCCGGATAAGGAAGACCCGCCAAGGCCTCCTGCACCAATGGGCAGGCCACCTGTCCATCATTTTGCGCCAATAGGCAAGTCGAATGAGGAAGACCTGCCAAGTCCTCCCGTGCCAATTGGCAAGCCGAATAAGAAAGACTCGCCAAGGCCTCCTACACCAATGGGCAAGCCACCTATCCATCATTCTGCACCAATAGGCAAGTCGAATGAGGCAAACCCGCCGAGCCCTCCCGTGCCAATTGGCAAGCTGGATAAGGAAGACTCGCCAAGGCCTCCTGCACCAATGGGTAGGCCACATGTCCATCATTCTTCGCCAATAGGCAAGTCGAATGAGGAAGACCCGCCGAGCCCTCCCGTGCCAATTGGCAAGCCGAATAAGGAAGACCCGCCAACGCCTCCTGCACCAATGGGCAGGCCACCTGTTCATCATTCTGTGCCACTAGGCAAGTCAAATGAGGAAGACCCGCCGAGTCCTCCTGTGCCAATTGGCAAGCCGGATAAGGAAGACTTGCCAAGGCCTCTTGCACCAATGGGCAGGCCACCTGTCCATCATGCTGTGCCAATAGGCAAGTCGAATGAGGCAAACCCGCCGAGCCCTCCTGTGCCAATTGACAAGCTGGATAAGGAAGACCCGCCAAGGCCTCCTGCACCAATGGGCAGGCCACCTGTCCATCATTTTGCGCCAATAGGCAAGTCGAATGAGGAAGACCCGCCAAGCCCTCCCGTGCCAATTGGCAAGCCGAATAAGGAAGACTCGCCAAGGCCTTCTGCACCAATGGGCAGGCCACCTGTCCATCATTCTGCGCCAATAGGCAAGTCGAATGAGGAAGACCCGCCGAGCCCTCCCGTGCCAATTGGCAAGCCAGATAAGGAAGACCTGCCAAGGCCTCCTGCACCAATGGGCAGGCCACCTGTCCATCATTCTGCGCCAATAGGCAAGTCGAATGAGGAAGACCCGCCGAGCCCTCCCGTGCCAATTGGCAAGCCAGATAAGGAAGACCTGCCAAGGCCTCCTGCACCAATGGGTAGGCCACCTGTCCATCATTCTGCGCCAATAGGCAAGTCGAATGAGGAAGATCTGCCGAGCCCTCCCGTGCCAATTGGCAAGCCGAATAAGAAAGACTCGCCAAGGCCTCCTACACCAATGGGCAGGCCACCTGTCCATCATTCTGCGCCAATAGGCAAGTCGAATGAGGAAGACCCGCCGAGCCCTCCCGTGCCAATTGGCAAGCCGAATAAGGAAGACTCGCCAAGACCTCCTGCACCAATGGGCAGGCCACCTGTCCATCATTCTGTGCCAATAGGCAAGTCGAATGAGGAAGAGCCGCCGAGCCCTCCCGTGCCAATTGGCAAGACGGATAAGGAAGACCCGCCAAGGCCTTTTGCACCAATGGGCAGGCCACCAGTCCATCATTCTGCGCCAATAGGTAAGTCGAATGAGGAAGACTCGTCGAGCCCTCTCGTGCCAATTGGCAAGCCGGATAAGGAAGACTCGCCAAGGCCTCCTGCACCAATGGGCAGGCCACCTGTCCATCATTCTACGCCAATAGGCAAGTCGAATGAGGAAGAGCCGTCGAGCCCTTCTGTGCCAATTGGCAAGCCGGATAAGGAAGACTCACCAAGGCCTCCTACACCAATGGGCAGGCCACCTGTCCATCATTCTTTGCCAATAGGCAAGTCAAATGAGGAAAACCCGCCGAGCCCTCCCGTGCCAATTGGCAAGCCGAATAAGGAAGACCCGCCAAGGCCTCCTGCACCAATAGGTGGGCCACCTGTCCATCATTCTGCGCCACTAGGCAAGTCAAACAAGGAAGACCCGCGGAGCCCTCCCGTGCCAATTGGCAAGCCGGATAAGGAAGACCCACCAAGGCCTCCTGCACCAATGGGCAAGCCACCTGTCCATCATTCTGCACCAATAGGCAAGTCAAATGTGGAAGACCCGCCAAGCCTTCCCGTGCCAATTGGCAAGCCAGATAAGGAAGACCCACCAAGGCCTCCTGCACCAATGGGCAGGCCACCTGTCCATCATTTTGCGCCAATAGGCAAGTTGAATGAGGAAGACCCGCCGAGCCCTCCCGTGCCAATTGGCAAGCCGAATAAGGAAGACCCGCCAATGCCTCCTGCACCAATGAGCAAGCCACCTGTCCATCATTCTGCGCCAATAGGCAAGTCGAACGAGGAAGACCCGCCGAGCCCTCCCGTGCCAATTGGCAAGCCAGATAAAGAAGACCCACCAAGGCCTCCTGCACCAATGGGCAAGCCATCCCGTCCATGAATAAGGTCTTTTTTTTCTTTTCTTTTTTTTATCATTCATGACTAGGGTCTGGTGCACCAGTTTGAAGGAATAAGTAAAGTTTGTGCGGCATGATAAAAAAATATAAATGTATTTTGAAAAGAATTAAAGAAAATTAAAACCGTTAGTAATTAAAATATTAGTATTTCTGCTGAATTTCATAATTATTTATTTTCTCAAGCGCATTCAAAGTTCAGCATGCAGAAAGCATGATATGGTAAATCATAATATAACAATAAATTTAGCTTAGCCTGATTTGCGAGGATATCAACATGTAGCCCTCAATATAATGGATATCGATATCATTCTGACTTTTCAGTAAAAAATTATATACCGTGCAAAGAGAAAGTAGCACAGTGTGTCGGTCTAAATTAATGCAATACATGCAATAGCTACTACTACAAAACTGCCAGAGCAAGTTATTACTATAACAATATCAACTTCCTCCCTTTCTATTCTCTTCTGCCTTTCAAAGCAATGCCAAAGTGCACCCCACTCCCTTCTTCATCCAGTTGCTCCAACAGCAACGTGCTTCTCAATTTCACCTTGTTCTTCTTTAGCAAATTCTTCGATTAATTCACGCTGTCTAGGAGTCAGATTCCTGTACATAAGAATATTCAACATTAAGAAAATTGGTTTTCACTCTTATGGGTATAAAACTAGTAACATATGCACCCAATAAGTCAAATGATGTAAAATAATACTCCATTTTACCATTTGAAGGAAGCTCATCAGATTTAGACCAATGATCTCAGAGCACATGAGAACCATAATAATAGAAATTATAGACCCTTTAGAATACTTACGTTGGAATGCTGACATTGAAGTGCACATACTGATCTCCAAATGAGTAAGAATTTCTTGATTTAATCCCTGCCAGAAAACACAGCACATAATTCTGTGTTGGTAAACTAAAGATATATGCTTTCTCCAAAGAAAATAAACTAATATAAAACACTTCCTAACAAGCATATGGATATAAAAACAAGGAGAAAAAGAAGGAGAAGGAAATGTTTTGAGTTGAGTTTTGCAGGGCCAAAAACATTTCCACCATCTCTACGGTAGGGGATCAAAGCTGTAATTCAAACTTCTATCTATTGATTATCTGTTCATTCTTCTGTATAAAACTTACCTGGCAGCACTTATTATTGGTGCTGCTTGGCATGCTTGTTATTGGGAATAAGAATTTACATTTTACCCCAAAAAAGGGAAATTTTGACTTACCTTCCAGGGAGATTGGACTGAACTCAAGTCACCAAACCAGGGATACCTAAAGAGAAGGTTCATGACCATTTCAATACAATCCACAAAGCTCAGAAAAACCATATAAAGTGCCCATCAAAAGAAACCTCACATGTAAGTATATATAATATACGTCAATTGTCAATCATAAAGAGAAGATAAACTTGAACAACGCTCCACCTAATGACAAAATTTAGTTGTCCATTGACAATGAAATTAAAAGGGTACATCAGCTAAAGCAACTTCAAACAGCTAGGAAAAGCAAGCAACCGTAGGGCTTAATTGATCCCATCTTAGAAGACAAGCTCGTGAGGTTTCATGCCTGCCTTGAGTGAAAATCTAGCCGCCAAATAAGCCTTCAAATCAGGAACACCCTCAATTGATTTGATCAGAGCTGCATCTACAGCTTTCTGATCATCCTTCTTCTCTACCGAAAGAACATTTTTTTCCTGGATTTTGGTGGAAGATAAAATGAGTCAGAATAAACA